AAATGTAAGTCGAGACTCTTTATTGAGACTGTATATTAAGTTCAGTTTCACTTACTCGAATTTCATAGCTTTTATATATTGCATAGAAATATTAAAATCAAAAATTTCTATTTTTTACTCTTAAAATTCATAAAAAAATTTATTTTTTTAAATAAAAATTATTGAAAAATTTGGTGATTGAAATGAAAAAATTTTTTAAACTACATGGACAATTTTTTTATAAAATTCGGGATAAGAAAATGTCAAACAAAAATGACAAAAAATTTACAGAACAAAATTTACTATTTTTTTTTTTTTTTACACAAAATTGAATAAAATTTCGTTTTTAAAAAAAATAAAACAAAAATTGAATGCGGCAATTTTTCGATCTGAAATGAAAATTTAAGATTGAAATTTTTTAATTTTATTTTTTTTTTGATAAACTTTAAAATACAAAAATTTAATTATAAAAATTTTAAGCAAAAATATCAAAAAATTGAAATAAAAAAAATGTAACTTTAAAATCGAAATTGCTTTTTTTCGTTTTTTTTTTTTTTTTGTGGAGAACAATTGACCTAATTTTTTTATTTAAAATAAAAAATTACAGCTGAATTCAAGATTGAGATTTCAAAATTTTTTTGATTACATAGCCACGTAAAATTTTTGATTAATTAAACTAAAAAAATTTAATTATAAAAACATAATGAGCAAGATTGTCAGAAAAATTAAAATTAAAAAGAAATTTTAACTTAAAATTAATAATCTTTTTTAATTTAGTGAAATTTCAAAAAGATAAAATTTTTTTTAAACCTAAATTACAAAATGAACACTCAAGTTTAAAAAATTTTATCTTAAAGTAAATAATAAAATTCCAAAGATTGATTGATTGAAAACCAAAAAAATCTGAAATTTTCCAAATCTTAACAGATCGTAACTACTCAGTGACTCATTGACCTGTATGCAAAAGTCAGTGACGCATTCTATTCAACTAATATATCAGTAGATTAGTACCCTGTAACCTAGACTACATTTATTGTGTATTTTTTGAGAACAATCTCACACAATGAGTTAGCAGGTAAATAGATAGTATTGTCCAGCAAAAGTGAAAACTAAACATAAAAAAATTTTATCTAAAGTTTGTCCAAGACTTCATAATCTCTTTTTCTTCTACATATTTTTTATTTTCTTTTCCCAATTGTTTATTTTAAAAAAACAATCTATCGTAAAGTGTATACTGTGCATCAGCGCAATTGTCTCAATGCTGACAATCTCAATATTATCCATTTAGTCATCGTTTTTTATCTTAAACACAAACGCCTCGAAATTTTTCTTACTATTCTCTCTCTTTCTAATACGTCCACAATGCTATTACTCATATATATTACATGTCACAATTCTTAGCCGACTTAATCATCTCAATACAGACGTTAGCAAATTTTTCAGACAGTAAATAATAAATATTATTAATATCATTAATTGTATCTCAAAATTATTAAACTATTATTTCACTTAAAAAATTTATAAATTATTCGGAAATTTTTACGAATTAGAATTTTAAATTACTTGTCAAATTTGATAGAATAATTTCGAAATTAATCTAAAGGGTTTAATCTCATTTTTAGTCTAATGTTCGGGCTAACTTAACTTATAACTGAATACATGCATTAAAAATAAAAAAAAATGCAGTCACGGCAGATATAAAGTTGTAATTCCGGTTATTTCTTAAAATACAACCCTTGATTATGTTCTTACCCCTCGGAATTGGCACCTTATAGTACACTACAGTCGGGATACAATGAGATGATGCGATTCCTAGACGTATTGTGAGATTTTTATTTTATTTATATTATTTTTACTTAGCCGCACTTTACTGTTGCATTAATATAAGGTGTGCGCTTTTACTCTTTTAAGGTCTACTGGCTTGTTTGGGATTTTTATTTCAGGTATATATTTTTATTTATGTATTAATGCAGGTATTATAAGAAGGTAAAAGGGGTTGTGTACTAGTTTTTAGGCGAATTATCTAAATAACCTACGAGACAGGTATAAGACTGCCTTATATCTTGAACATGTGAGTAATATATATAACCAACAGTCTTATATATATATTAGTACCACCGCAGTACGTTGGTTTATAATCCAACGGCAAGTATAGCAGGTCGTTTTCGTGATGGATCAAATAATAGTATCTGAGTATGGCCGTTGAATAAATTTAATTTCTTATTTTTGGTTTTTATTCGACGTTTGTAATGTATATGCTGTGTACGGCAGGTAAAGTAAGCCCACAATGTACCTAAAATGTTAGGCTGTTGATGCGGTTAAAGAAGCTGGTTATTAATGCTGCGAATACGCCATTAAAATGATCAATTGGTAAATTGTTGGAAGAGTACAATAACTTTTTGAATTCAGATAATTTTTCTGAATTAATATTGTAATTTTGATAGTTCATTAAAAAAAACAAAAAGAAATATAAAATTGATCAACATTTTCATTGACAGAATATAGAACTTGACACAAACAGTTGAAAAAAACTAAAATTGGTTTGAATTAATTAAAACTATGAAATTTTTGTAATTCATTTAATTTTTAATGCAATAAATTTTATGTTTCTTTTATTTTTCTCAAAGGATCTAAAATATTATAAAAATAGTAATACATATTAATATAATAATACAGAGTATCATACAGAGAAATAATATGAAATATTAATACAGAATTAGAAAAGAATAGTAACCACGAAAATTTTTCAATTAAACTTCCTCTTGAAAATATTTGTGAAGATTTTGTTAATAAATATTATAAAGATAATCACACAAAATTTTTTGTAGAGACTAAAAAAGAAATATAAAATTTTTAGTTAAGAAAATTCGATTTTCGAAATTTTGATAGTTACTTTTTTCAAACATAATTTTATTTTAAAATGTTCAAAAATTTTATTTAAATTTTGTTTTACATAGAAAAGCAAAAGCCTTTAAATAAATTTGTTATTATTTTAAAAATCTTATTATTAAATTCGATCGAGATTAAAAATTTTTGCTCTATGTCGATATTTATAATAACTTTCGTTAAAAATGTATTGAGTAAATTGACTACTTAAATATTTCAAGCATAAATTTCTCAAAAGTTAAAGATAAAAATTAATGTATTATTTAATTGAAAGATTGTAAATTTTTACTCAAAAAAAGTATCAGAGATAAAAAAAAAAAGTCTTGAAAAATTTTTATGTCAGGTAATATGGGTAAGAAATTTTTTATTATTATTTCAGAAAGTACGTACGGCATGTGTTCAATCAAAATTTTTTTTTAATTAAAGCTATCTTTTTTCAATAATATTTATTTCAAGTTATTTTCCTAAAAACCTGTTTTCAATAATAATTATTCATTATTAAATCATTAGATTTTATATTTTTCGAATTATTGAAAATAAAATAGATTATAATATAACTGAAATAAATTATTTAAAAAATTAAAAAAAAAAACAATAATCTTGTATGGTAACTAAAATAAATTGTTTGAAAATAAAAAAAAAAAAATGTGTACAGTAACCAAAATAAATTATTTTGTCCAAGTTACTCCGTCACACCCGGTTACCCCTATTTCCGTAAGTTCTGATATCCAAAAGAAAATACTATTTCCACTAATTAAAATGGAACGTGTCGTGTAATCTTACTTCCTATCTGTCACTAAATTAAATTTATCTATTAAAACAACAGAACTCAACTGTGTCCAATAATTGGGACAGGTTCCATCTGTCGACTCATGATCGATCTTTTAAACTTGTATCGTGTCTTCAATATATAAACTCAGTTTCATTTTAAAGATATTAAAGGTTAATTGTTTATTTACATCAAAATCCGTTACATTCCATTTAAAGACACCAAAATTAATTCAATTTATTAAAAATTAAAATATCTAATTGAATAAAATGAACCTGCCCCGATCGATGATTTGACGAAAAAAAAAATACAAATAAGAATAAATTTAAAACAAATTTACAGTTAGAACACTCCCTGTTTTATAATACCCACCAAAAATTAATTTATAAAATAAAATGTCTTGAAAAATAAAAAAAAAAAAAAAAACTAAACTTATATTAATGTTTTCTAAGAGCATCGCGATAAATCAGTCAAAAAAATGACCAAACTACAAGAATGTTTTTTTCCACATGCACACACACACACACATGAGGTGTGTGTATAAGTGAGCTGCACGCGTGGGCGATGCCACGGCACGCGACACGACCGTTACATCGAGTACACCGAGGGGTGCGTGAAGAGGGAGAGAGCCCTAGTGGGGAGATCGTGCGCACACGTCGTTACAATCAAGCTGATGAGTGCGAGAGAGCGAGCGGCACAACAAAACATAAGACACGGTGGAGTGAGAAAAGTGAATGTCTGGCGGGGGCACTTCCAGTTAAGTAGGGATAAAATTTTCCGAAAGTAGGGGGAGGGGTAGGTAAAAATCGAAAAATAATATTTTAGTAATCAAAGGAAACTGGAGTCGAGGGGGGTCGGGGGTGGTGAAAATCGGAGGTGAAATAGGCCAGGATCCAGCATCTGCCGAGACATGACACGCGGAACAATCGCGGATCAGGTAGAAAGACTGAAAGAGAAAGAGAGAGTTTGTTTAATGAAAAAAGGGACCGAATGGGGATGCAACTGAGGACAGATGCGGTTGAGCTGATTGGTCCCTGGCTTGCGACCGAGTAAATCTTATTGGCGTAGTGTGTAAGGCCCATGGGCCTACATTGGTTGTACAGCACGTGCGGGCCACCTGCAGTTGCTAAGAAGGGGCAAGCGTCTATATAAGGCCCTGCACATCGCCCCACTAGTCAGAATCCGGCCGCCAGCCGTACCGACAACTTCTAGGGTCACAATACCTTTCCCTTTCCTTTTATAAGTCAGTAGTACCGTACTCCTACTCTCGGTTATCCGTTTTAACCAGTGATTTATTGTTCTTATTCACTACCAAGTGTTCGTACTGTGCAGACTTACTATTACGGATTTATTTGTGCTGTGCTTCGATAATTGTTGCCCTCCACACCAATTGGATTACTTAGAGGAGGTCGACAAAATTATAAAAAAAACTATTTTTTTTTTTTTAACAAACAATTTGTTAAAAAATATTACGAAAATGCTTGTCGAAGAAATGCCGCGTAGTTTTGTGAAAAAGAACAACAGCTACAGTCACTGTCCGTTGAAAAAACGGCCAGTGCACGTGTTGTACGAGGAAGTTCCTGAATCTGTCAAAGGTAACTATCAGCAAAAAATAATTCCGAAAAAAAATTCATTTTTCCTCAATCCTATAAATTTTTATTTAATAACACAAATACATTTTCTAATGGTAAATTTTTTCTATTTTCAGATGAAATAATCGACGTAGTGACAGACGACATTCCCGAGCCAGAAAACCTGAGCACAAAACCAGAAGACTTAAGCCGATCTGCTGAAAAACAAAGATCAGTATCTAGATCGCCGTCACCTTGTGCAAAAGTACCCCGTCAATCACTTGAACAGTGCTCGCCGTTACGTGGTTCATCGGTGCAATTGCCGCCGACGCACCACCAGTTCTACCCGTCAAAACCAATCACTCCACCAGCAGGAATTGCTCCAGTGCACCAAATCGTTAAGAAAGAACGGGTTGAAGTGATACAACACGACGGTGGTTCATCATCAGCAGCTCACTATCTGAGCAAGACACCCCTGGAACCGCTAAATCTGAACACTCCAGTGGAACCAGTTGCTCATTACGCGACTCCAGCTTGGACCCGCGCAGCACCACTTTATCCACCACATTATCTGCCATACTCACCAGCGTACCGATTCCAGCAACCAACCGCTGAATTGTACCCATCATACCCTCTGGCAGGATACCACCCGCACTCATCACCAGAACACGCTTCGCTGTCACCGCCACCTCACGCTGCTCTGACCTGTCCGACAATTCAGCGACCAATTCCACGAAGCTACTGGACAGCTTCCAGCCCAGATCATTGCACCCTGTCGCCAACCAGCACCATGAGCTACGGACCTCTGAGATCGCCTCCGCCAGTTACTCCCGAAGATTTATCATCCCCTGGAAGTGACAGTGGTCGTTCTAGTGCCGGTAGCACGTCAGCCGGGTCAATGATGATGAAAATCGAGTCCACTGGGACGAATATCGCCAGTCCACCGTCAGCTGCGTCGAACAATCCTTCTTCACCAAGGTACCAGTGTCCTGATTGTGGCAAATCTTACTCCACCTACAGCGGACTGTCAAAACACCAACAGTTCCACTGTGCCGCCGCTGAGGGACAAACTAAAAAATCTTTCTCGTGTAAATACTGCGAAAAAGTTTACTACAGTCTTGGTGCTCTTAAAATGCACATCAGGACACATACGTTGCCGTGCAAGTGTCATTTGTGCGGTAAAGCATTTTCACGACCCTGGTTACTTCAAGGACACATAAGAACCCATACCGGTGAAAAACCATTCAGTTGTCAACATTGTAAACGCGCTTTTGCTGATCGCAGCAATTTACGTGCTCATTTGCAAACTCACAGCGATGTCAAAAAATACTCGTGCAGTTCGTGCAGTAAAACATTCAGCAGGATGTCACTTTTGACGAAACATCAAGAGAGTGGTTGTCCTGGTATTAATGTACCTATTGGTTACAATTTGTAAATTGTGTTTTGTGCATTCCATTTTTTGTTTAATTGTCAAAGGAAGTAACAGACTTTTGAGATTAATTTAAAATTTAAGAACTTTGAAGTATTTTTGTGAATTGTGGAGAAAAAATTTTTTTTTCAAAGGTCTGTTATTTTCACAAGTAATTTTATTTCGTAAAAAACAGATTAATATATATGCAGATATATACAGATATATGAATATATTTAGAATAAGTGCCTTAATCTGAGACGACAGACTGTTTTTGTGAGTACAAACAACGCGTGAACAATTTTATTCCTTAGGTTTGACTTTTTTTTTTTTGTTTCATTCCTTTATTTATTTATTTGTCGGTTTTGTAAAATCAAAATTTGTGTTTTTTTCTTTTGTACTTAGGGTATATGTGTGCCTTTTTTTAGTTGGTGTAAATGCCATTTCTTGCTATTCACGCGTACGTCTTCGAGTTTTTTAAACGATTGCCATCGAGAGAAACCGCTGGATGCGGTACCGTGAAACTTTCGTGCCATTTTTTTATGTCCATCGTTTTAAAACAATTCGAGGTTGGATTAATAATATTTTTTTTTTTTTTTACTCGTAATCGAATTTTGTAATGCGTCCTAATGCCATTTTTTTATCACTTTTAAGCGCTTGATTATTTATGTATTTTCGGATAAGAAATAATGTGTAAATATTTAATTATAATGAATTATTTTTAGAATAGTGAAAAAAAAAATTAATACGCTGACGGGAAATTCATTTAATGGATAATTGGTTTCTTCGCTCCGATTTTTTTTTTTAAATCGTTTGAGTTGCAAGGCGAAATTTTTTTTGATTTTGTCAGTGTATTGTTTTTTTTTTCATTTTAATATTCGAACAAACTAGTCATTGTATAAAACAAAAGCTGAAAAATTATTGTGTTGGAAAGTGAAGAGTTAAAAGCTCTTGTATTTTTTTAGACACATATTTTTCGAAATTGAACATAAATATTTTGTGTAAAATAAAATTAAGAGAAATCATAATATAAATGCGAGACTCAGGGCGAGTACCACACTATATTTTATAGATTTTGTATAGAAATTTTTTTAAAACTAATTTTATATAAAAAAAAAAAAAAAAAACAAATGTCTCTTATAAATAGATATATTAAAATATTTTATAAAAAAATAAATAAATTTTAAAATATAATTTAAATTACTTCTTATTATTTTTAGATTTTAATATCCTTGAACCTTTTACTCCTTAATTAGTTGTCACTTAATCTTAAGATTTAAATTATATTTTAAGAAGTGCTTAGACATTAAGTTGAAACAGGTAAGTATTTATTTCTTTTAATTTTTAAATACTTTCATGGGTTACAAAAAAAAAATTTTTTTTTAATTTTTGGTAAAGTTTTTTTTATTCTTAATTTTTTACTTAAAAAAATTTTTTTTCACAAATCTTTTCTTTTTTTTTATTTAAAAAAAATTAATTTAGAAAAATTACGTAATAAATTTATTTTCAACAAAATTAGATCATACAAGTGAAACGGAAATGGAAAATTATTTAAGTACATGCGTCATAACTTACCTTAGATGATCGGATCTGATAATACAATTTCAATACTCAAGTTTCCATTTGATGATTGATAATAGCTCAAAATTCAATAGCGTAATCATAAACTTTCTGAACAGAAAAAGTTTCAAAATTTTTCTTTTTATGATCGCGTAGCGCAGATATTAGAACTTTGAGTAACAATTATTTTTTTTTTATATATTAAAATAGATACCAAAATACTGGTACACTTCTTTTTATTGTCAATTTTTTAACCTTCGCAGTAAAATAATCCAAAAATAATGACTATACAAGATAAAATTAATATGAAATATTTTATAAATTTATCAGAAGAAATTTTTTCAAAGAGAAAAATTGATTACATTTGTTTATTTTTAGAAATTAAATTTTGAATTGAATGAATACTCCCTTCGGAAAAAAAAATCCACATGTATATTAACAATTTTAATAAAAAATCTAAAAATTAATTTTGTCAGGAAAGGAAATATGTAAAAATTTCTGATTATTCACACGATGAATTTTCGCCAAATTTAAATATGTATTTCAATTTATTGTACGACTGTATCATTACATTTTTATAAAAAACCGCAAGATTTTTTAGAGACAGAGTTTTTTACTAAAAACTTTGAATTTTTGTCTGATTTTTATTAAAAAAAAAAAAAAAAATACATTAAATGCTCGGGAATTGTATATGAGATAATAGCTAATGTTATCAAATTTAAGAGTAATAAAAAAGTATATATTTATAGAAAGTACAAAGCGATATTTATTTATGTCTACTCTGTTATTAGAATTAACCTGTACATAGTTTGTCACTCTATATAATAATTAAGTGATCCTATTATTGGCGTAAGCTGTTGAAATTATGTATATACATCTATATATGAAGATATAAGAAACAATTCATGAAATTACAATTTTAAATAATTACGCTTTTAATTATTCAAAATATTTTTCGAACAAATTGATGTTTTTTGGATTAAATTTAAATGAAATTCTCTGATAAATTTTCATAATTTTTATCAGAACCTGATTATAATTTACTAAAGAAATTTTTTTGATAAAATCTTTTTATATCACACATCTACAGAAAATATTACGTGAAATTATTCTACTCTGACTCGGAGAAAGTATGAAAACACCGTCACCCAGAAAATTGTAATGCAAAGAAACCTTAAGCTATAAGATACTGGGCTTCAATTCATTGAATGGTCCGAATGCTTGAAAGTATTGTTGATTCTGTGATACTGCAAAGGTAAAATAAAATGATGACGATATAAAATTGATGGCTGTGGTCGACGTTCAGATAAAGGGCAGATGAATCTACGGCAGCCGCAAAAAAAAATCTAATATTCATCAAAGAAAAAAAAGTGATCAATAAGACACTGCCATCAACAGAACGCCCGTCAAGACTAATCCATGTGCTTAAACGGACATAATCGATTGCAAGACAGATGATAACTGATTTTTTTAAACTCAATAATAAATTTAGTGCTTGATCAGAAAATAATTAAAAATAAAATTCACACTTGTTTAAATAAAATTTTATTACGTGCGTTGAAGAGTAGCAATCTTTGACGCCATCTACAATCAATAGAGGAAACTAAAAAAAAAAACATGATTATCTTTCTAATGCATTTGAAGTGACTAAATATTACTAAACTCTAATTAAATTAGAATAAAAAATTTTCATTTGATAAATTACAAAAAAAAAAAATTTTGTTATTCAATTTTCAAAAATTAAAAAAAAAATTTTTTTTATATTTCCAAGTTTCGTAATTTTTTCAATTTATTTATAAATTTTTCATTTCTTGCACATTTTTATATTAACAAAATTATATAACGCTGGCAAAATTTCAATTATTAGTTTTATAAAATATAAAAAAATATCAAACTAATAAACCTTGTTGACATAATTAAATCCTAAAATACTCTAGCCGAGCATAACAAAGGGTTTGCAAGTGCAACAATTGCTACAAGCATCCATATGGGCATTTATGTCACTATATAAATCTCTAACGAGATGAAATATTGTGTATTGATGGGATGTAGGGGAGCCGTTAAATCAAAGGGGACTTACAAGGGTTTTATAATGCTCGCTAAAATCTGTCGTCACAACATCAAAAGTTTAATTTACTATTTACTTTTTAAATGTTAGCCTATAGCAGTTGAACATCAATAATCGTAAATGTTCAATCAAAATTGTTAAATGTAATGATAAACAAAGATATCTGATTTTTCAAGCATTATGACTACAATATAAAAAATCTGGAGTGAATTTGAAATTTTTTTTTTCAGCGGAGTAATTGCGTCGAGTTTACATGGATTCTCACCCAAAAAACAATCGAATGCAAAGTTTATAAATGTTAATTATATTTTTCTAAAATATTTTACTTTAATATTACTAAGATTTAATTAACTGAGAAACGGAAATTTTTATGATTTCTTAAGAAATAAACAATTATAAAAAAGATTTATCTAAAAATGGTACTTGTAGAAATAAAAAAAAAAACCAATTATAGGGGAGGGGGGGGGGGGCAAAATGGGGTACTTAAG